GAGGAGGAGGAGGAGGAGGAGGAGGAGGTGGAGGAGGAGGAGGAGGAAAGGACCATCTAAAGGTGAGAGGATACCAACAAGAGCACAGCAATAAAAAGAATCAGAAAGGAAGAGCAGGAAAGATTGGGAAGGATGAACCAGAAAAGGACTAAGGCAAAGTGAATAGGAAACCGGTGGAAACAAGAATGAGTAAGAATTGAAGAAACGGGTGTCAGAGAAAGAAGATAAACCAGAACTGAAGAGGGTGAAGAAGAGGGGAGAGAAAACAGATCAAAGCTGGAAGGGTAAAAGAGAAGAAGAAACCACAGAACAATCAAAGTTGCGGGGCCAGAGTGTTTCCCACTTCTCCACTGTGTGAGGAGCAGAGTCCTGCCTTGACTTTGTCCACGGTGTGCTAAGCCTCGATCCCACTCTCTTACTGAGTTTTCCTTCTCTACTAAGAGGAGCTCGGGGAGATTGACTGTGAATCAAGACCGTGTTTGAAAAGAAAACACTTACCTTAGAAAACTCTTTCTCGAACTTCTGAGAAAGGATGTGAGCTGTGAACTCTAAGCGCTCCACCCTGTCAGCGGGGAAGGCAGTGTCTGGCAGGGAAACGGAGCACTGGCAGGTCCCATGACTGTCCACAGAGCCGGTGAAATTGGAAAATGACTGTAAATAATAAAAGGCGAGTGTCAGCAACAAGCTGGAAAATGAACCTTTCAGGCAACAGGAATGACAGAAATTGGCTTGGCAGAACATGATGGAGGCAAACAAGTGCAGGCCAATACATGACCGAACAGTGTCATAGAGACAAGCCAACCCCGTCTCCACCTGCTGGCTAAGCCTCTGTCAGCAGCTTGTATCAAAAGGAAGGTTCTCCATGCTTGAGGAGTCCTAAAGAAATCATTCTATCTCTCCGCAAAGAAAAGAAAATGAAGAGAGGCCAAGAGGACTAAGTTTGAACATCTGCTCTTCCATTTGCTGCATGTGACACCCCCTTACATCTATTTCCTCCTCTGTGAAATTCAGATACCCTGATTGAGGTAAGCAGGTGATGCGCTCTGAGTCCCTGGCATGTGACAGGTGATTGGGTGCTGTCACTTTCTCTTTCCTCCTACCAGTACACATGTGCAAGCGCGCACACACACACACACACACACACACACACACACACACACACACACACTTTTACTCCAATCCCAGCCCAGTTTCTCCCAATTAGAATAAAGAAATCTTGAAGGTTTGTGGGCCGTGGCAAAGATATCCAGTGAGAATTCAAATCCTCTCTTCAGCTGGGAAATTATAAAATTCACATTTTTCCAAATGGAAACAAACCATCTACTCGCTCAAAAATTGAGCAGTGTATGAGTTTAGAGGTTCCTTGCAAATTTCTCAAATGGAAGTTCTCTAGCTTACACTTGCAAGAAAAAAAAAGTCATTTTAAAATATTTGAAGTTTCTTTAAGATATTCAGGCTCACGCTTCGATGCCACTGCATATTTTAAAATGACAGGTTTGAAAGATTCTGTTTTTCTTTTGTCCCCTTTGAACTACCCCAAGGGGATCCTGGCACAATTAACATTTTTCATTACTACTATTACCTTGCAGAGTGAGTCTTGTCAGCCAACTAGCTGTGCCTTTTAATGGCCTCATCTGAAGACCAGCCCAAAGCTCACCTACGGAGTGTCAGCCTGAAGGGACTCTTTGTGAAGCGAAGGAGGAGAGAGCAGTTTTCAGAGTCTGGAGAGACTCCAGCCATCTTTCAAAGTTTACATCAGCTGGCTGTGGCTGAGTGTATCCACTCCATATACAAGCCACCTCTACTGATCTCCATGATCCCTGAACAAACCTGGCCTAGATGCTCCTGTAATTGAGATTTAGCCCAGCAGTGACCTCGGGGCCAATTAAGGCTCTTGCAAACAATGGTGACTGTGGTGGATTTTAAATGAACCTAATCTTCTCTAAGATGGTAAGAATGAAGTGTGTGTGTGTGTGTGTGTGTGTGTGTGTGTGTGTGTGTGTGTGTGTGTGTGTGTAAGCCAGAGGACAATACAGAGTGTCATTCCTTGGTCAACCAACATTTGCCCTTTTTTCTTGAGACAGTCTCTCATTGACCTGGGACTCACCAAGTAGGCTAGGGTGCTGGCCAGTCAGCCTCAGAGATCCTTCTCATCCCATCTCCCCAGCACTGGGACAATAACCCCATACCACCACACTTGGCTTTTAAACTAGGGATTCTGGGGACTAAACTCAAGATCTTGTGTTTGCAAGTACTTTCATTCTCTGTGCTATTTTCCCAGCCCTCCATGCCAGGAAACGTCTTGACACTGTCCTTTCTTATCTAATCAGATCTCTCCATCTTTAGGGATCAGGGAGTAAGGGGTAGGAGCAAGCAGGTTTATGTTGCACGTGGTAGCAAGCGGTTAGAGTTGGGGGTGGGAAGGGTCTTTGCAAAGAATGAATAAGGACTGAACAATTTATACCAGGAACCTGTCGGAGAGGTTGTGGACTGCACAATATACATCAGGGACCTGTCAGAGAGGTTGTAGACTACACAATATACACCGGGGACCTCTCAGAGAGGCTGTGAACTGGACAATATACACCAGGAACCTGTTGAAGAGGTTGCAGACTGCACAATATACACCTGTCGGAGAGGTTTCTGACTATACAATATACAACAGGGACCTGTCAGAGACTCAGACCTATTACTCCATCTAAGATAGAAAGACTCTAGCACAGGTATGCCAAGTTTTTTTACAGGCTTTTGAAGAAACACCTTATCGTAATAACCATCTAGCAAAGAAAAAAAAACTTGCATTGCATTGACAAGGGGAAGTTAATTAGCTTCCCAAGACAGGGGGGACCATTCCTGGAGTTCTCTGAGAAGCTCTGTCAATTCTGGAAACAGCAGGTATCATCAAGAAGTCTCTAGACAATCAACTAGGAACCACTAGCTAACAACTTTTAGTCCTGAAGTTCACCTGAAAGACAAGCAAATAATTATGAGCCCTGCTGACAGCCATTCCATTGACTTCTATTGAACATCTCTGTCCCAGTGCTGTGGACTCCATCCTGCTTATCATCAGCCCAGCGTGCTCAGCTGACATCAAAACGGTCCATAAGTTTGATCAGTGTCTCCCATTAGAGATATTTCTGCTCCTGGAATTCAAAGACAATGAAGCTAATGGTGATGAGTCTCTCTGCAGTGAATGCTCAAACTACGTGAATGAAATGTGGGGAATGAGACACAAAGACAAGTGCTTGTCCCCTTGGCCTTTGGAAGGATGTGTAGTCCCCTTGTGGAGGGCAAGTAGGACCCTGTGTGCCCCACAAAAGTGACTATACTGCCAAGTTCTCACTTGGTATATGTTCAATTAACATGTATGAAGGTCTACAATACCCCGGGCTCGGGAATTAGAAGCTGATTAAAACCAGTTGTGGCCCAATCAGGCTCATTTTCCTTCTGAATGCCCTAGGGGCTTTTCCGACAGCCTCAGACCCGGATGACAGAAGCTCGCAGTCCACTGTGGTTCTAACTCTGTCAGTGAGCGTGAGGAGCCTTCCCTAGAACTATGAAAGGCAGTGGCCAATTCTTTGGAGGCATGCACAGTGTTCTGAGCCAGCCAGCCGACGGTGCAACTCACATTTGTGATTTAAGGTCGCAATTGGCTCTAATTAGCAGCCGAGTCTAAGTGCCCACAAAGATTCACGACATAAAATAACGGTACTCAGCAGTTCAAAAGTACAGAAAATGATACGTTTGGAACTTGCTCAATGACAGTTATAAAGGGGTGTTCCACTACTTCCCAACAAGCTCATCAAGCTGACAGCCAGCCCTAGAAAATTAGGTTTACAGTGGAATTGATACCTGGTCCACTATAAAAAGGGGGTTGGAATGTGATACTGACTCTTTCACCACAGGCAGATAAGCAAATGATGAAAGAAAATGCATCTTCTAAGTATAACTTAACTACTAGTTCTTAGTTACTTTTAAATATTTGTCTTCTTACCTGACAGTGGGCACTTTAAGTTTCTCTGCTCCTTCGCTGATATTTTATTTTCTATGACTTCAGCTGAAGATGTTACAGTCAAATGCTGGCTTTTGATTGGTAGTGAAGCTTTATAATACATTATTATTGTTAACCTCACTTGACGGGAAAAAAAAAAGGTAACCCCTTCTAACTGTCCCCAGAAATTGTTTAGTACCCCAAGATAAGAGTAAATATGGGATTTCTGACTACTGTGGAGCTGGTGTATGGTTGTGGTTCTCTGAAATTTCTTCATTTAAAGCAATTTCCGTCTGTACCCCGGAAATGGAGAAAGCTGCATACAAAGAGAGGGTTTTCACAACAGAGTCCTTTGGAAAGTGTTGAAACTTGAATGAAACAACTAAACAAGCATGAGGGAGATGTACTCTCTCTGTATAGTGACTTTAAGCCAATGACTTCACCATAGCAAGCCTCAGATTTAACATCTCTAAAATGGGACCATGACTTTTACCTAACTCTTGGGGGTTAAATAAGCTGTATATGTATTAACCTAGTCTTGGCATTCACTAGGCATGCGCTGAATATTGTTGATGTCATTGCCCTCTAGGCCCCATCCAAACCACTTGTTGATCACATTTTCACCGGTCTACACATTTTAAAGATGCTAACACAAACACTCAGACAAAAGCCTCCCCCTCCCCTTTTCCTGTTTATCCTTCCATTCAGACAAGTTCATGAATGTGACTGGCTCAATGAAATGCCTAGCAGTTCTTACGGAGGCACTTTGATGGAGTTAGGAACCCTCCAGCACAAGTCACACTGCAGCAAGGCTAGCCTGGAAAGCTTTGCAGAGTAACAGTTCTGCAGAAAGGCCCAGAGGTAAAATGGGCAGCTATTTCCTGTCCTGCATCCTGCAGCTTCTCCGTGCCTCTTTTTTTTTTTTTTTTTTTTTTTTTAAGGAAAGCCAAAGAATCAGGCAGCCTGTGCATTCTACACAGGGCGCCTCTCCAGACCCATCCCTGTAGTACACGGTGCCTTTGATGGTTCATTTCACTCCTGCAGTTGTTTGGCACTGGAAATAGCCCCAGCAATTCCTTATGTGAAAAAAAAGATTGAAAGGAGTTAGCATTCCCTTGGGAAATTTCCACATGTAATGGCATTTTCCCAAGACTGATCATTCCTCTTCCTATAACCCATGTTCTCTCTGTGTGTGTACATGTATATGTGCTTGTGTGAGTGTGTGCCTGTGCATGTGTATGGGGAGGTAGTAGATGTCTTTCTCTACTACTTGCCACCTTATTTTTCTTGAGCTAAGATCTGTTGCTGAACCTGGAGCTCACCAATTAGCTAGAATGGTTGGCAAGAAAGCCTAGGGACCTCCCTGTCCCTGCCTCCTCTAACCAGTGATGGGCTGCAGATGGGTGCTGCCTTGCCTGGCTTCTTATGTGGGTGGTGGAGATACAGACACAGGTTCTCATGCTAGTGCAGAAAGTGTTTTACTGACCTTACCATGTCCTTAGACTCATTACCCATCTTCCTTATAAGCTGGGTGCAGAGGAACTGGCAGGACTCCAGATGTTGCATGGAGACTCTCACTCCCTCAGAGTATATTGCTTACCCTCAAAAGGCTCCCCCTGGGCAGCAAATCAGGTAAATAAACTTTGATGGAGTGGCTGCTTGTAGGAGCTCTTTCCCAAAAGTTCCTATCCCAGACTACATATTAGAATCAATTGGACTTCTTAATTGTTGTAAACACCTGTGCAGGCTAGAACCAAGGCATCTGGATTTTTAGCATTCTCCTCACCACTGATCCTACTGGTCAGCCTGGGTTGAGAACCTGTTTAGAACATGCCGTTCCCCAAATGCATTAGTTAGAAGACTGGGATGTTGTCTATCCTGCTAACAGTTTAATTACTTCACCCAGGTTTTAATTCATTTCCAAGGCATCTACAGTGAACAGAAAGAGTCATAAATCCTTTAAAGTGCTCAGGTCTAGTCATCCATGAAATTGTATTCAGGTCCCCAAAAAGCAAGAGGAAGGGAATTGAACATAGCTCACCCAGACTCAGCAACTCCCTTACCTGTGACACAGTACCACCTTCTGCCCAAGACGTGGCTCCTGGGGATGTAACGTAGGGTGTTATTGCCAACTCTGGGGAAGAAGTGGAAGTCATAGTCTCTGAACTCCTGGAGGCAGAGCCAAGGCAGGGCCTTGCAAAAAGGGCCAGCAGAAAGACCAGGCTGTAACTCATCTTGCCTTCTTGCCTAAGACTCTGGCTTCTTCCCACAGCCCAGGGCTTCTTATAGCACCCAGCAGGGATTTCCCCATGGCCAGTATGTGAAGAAAGAGGAAGCATTGAGGGAACGTGTGACCTACCCTAGGAGGGTCAGGACACCTGCAACCTGAGTCCTGTCCACACCTTGCCACTGAGCCTGTGCCATGCCCTTAGATACAGACCCCCATCCCCCACCCCACTTCCGACAAATATTAACTCACACAAGTTTCCTCAAGCCAACATCTGGTTTGAAGTTGATACTTCCTTGAAGGAGATGGAATCAAAGTAGCCTTTGTTGATGAAACAGTTTGGAGGCTCCAAGAAAAAAAAAAAAGCAACCCTTGACCCTCTGCCTGGAAATGACTTCTGGGTATTCCCTCCCATTTTGCTGAATTCTGCCTTCCAGAGAGAGTGTGCAGCATGGGCTCACTTTAGGGACTGTGACTCCCCTCTAAGATGTCTGAAGCCTTCCTCTTCAGAACCTGCTGCGCCAGTTGGCTCTGGCCTGCTCCTTGCTTTGTCTGTTCTTATACCAAGTTCTTTCAACAACACCAAGAATTTGTTCTCCAGAAGTCCACAGAGGACTCTGTGCTTCTAAAGGAAAAGAAAGAACCCAACCAAACAAGGGACCCAGATGGCCCACTGAATATTCCTCTAGATCAGGGTATTGCTCCCAACCCAACCAAAGAAGCCCAATGGAAGCCTTTCTCTGACTTCCTTTGTCCCCTACTCTGTGTGGGCTAGCCGGGTCTTCAGGACTCACTGGTCACTCCTCGTGCTAGTGAAAGCTGCTAGGATGCCTTCTCTGTCAGCCAGCTGACCTGGCCCTGAGCTTCCAGCTCTCTGCATCTCTCCAACACTGCACACACCCTTGTGACCTCAGCTTTCCTCCCTGAAGAAGGAGAAATGTATTGGCCTTTATATTAAAACCTAGTTCTGTCGCTCAGGAGCTGGTGGCCTTGGGCATGTCATTCAGCCTCTCTGTAGTTATAACAATCCCTAAATTATTAGAACTCAGTGGAATGGCATTTTGAAAGTTGCATATACATTTTAAAGTGCTATATAAATGTCAAGGTTCTTCTGGTTTTGTGTTTAATTCCCCAAAGCCTGGATCATTATGTAAGGTTATTGAGTTTACAACAAGAAAAGCAGGCAGAGTCTATACTCTGCCTTAGCCCATCCCAGGAGCATTTGGTAGACCTGGTTTGCAGGGTTCTTACACAGCTTAACCTCATAAGCTTTATAGACTTTCTAGATAAACCATGTCTTAAACCCTTGTACATGATTCACATCCTCAGGGGTAGGGGTCGGCAGGAAAAATACAAGCAGGAGAATGGAAAGTAGAGAGAAGAGAAAGGGAAAAACAAAAGTCAGTCTAATTCTTTTAAGTACCTCCCAAAGGTCCCTTGGACTGTTCCCCTGGTCCAGAGCTCCACCCTGTCCCTGACTCCGGAGGACTGAATAAACTTGCCACTCAGACCAGTATCCACAATTTCAGCATCCACATTGCCTCATCACTCAGGCTGATGGTGCTACCTCTATCTACCATCCACAGTGAAAAACACTTGTTGAGTCCCCTGCAGGTATCTACTCAAGCCAATAATACTGCTGTTCCATGGGACGTGAGATTGGAAGCAGCTAGAGGAGACCTAGAAAGGATGGGGACTCAATGCCAGAGGCTTTTTAGCATCAGCCAGCTACCATCAAGCCAAATGAAATCTGTGGTGAGGATCAAGGTCAGAGACAGATGACCCAAGTTTAGCTGTTAAAAGAGTAAAAAACGTATTTTTAAGCTCATATCTCTCTTATTGTTCCCTATATGCAATTTCATGTTAAAAGTTCAATGAGCAACAAATTTAGTTTTAACGTAAGTAGGCCCTGTGCATATTTGGGATATATTTGTAATAAAATAAATGTTGTCAGTTTAATATTGAAATTGAACTAGATATCTTTTTTTTTTTCCTGCAGCTATTGAAGCAGGATGTAGACTGTGAAATTCATTATTCCCTGTTGGAAGTAATTCAGCCTTGGCCTTTTTGACAAAAAAACGTTCTAGTCTCTTCAATGCTTAGCCCAAGACAGAGAAAGCATAGGACAGTTGTGAGAAAGAAAACCAGTGCATTGAATTCATTGTACTAAGAATGAATGCTATCAATATGGATGTAGAGAAGAGAGCATTCCTCTACCTCCCGTCTCGAGTCCCCTCTTCCTCCTGACTCCCACCAAAACAAAGGGTAAAATCTGTTCTCATTTGCTGGTAGCCTCTGCCTGTGACTATAATGAGCCTTCCTTACCCCTTTTTCAAAAAGCATGTTGGACCCCTTGTCAGGAAAAAAATTTCTCATTAACAATGATTGCCTGTTGTCATGGCTACCTTTGAAGGCTTCTATGGTGAGTTCTCTAGAAGACTCCTTACCAGAGGGGTTGTAACCTACAGAGCAGAGGCAGCAGATCTCCCCAGCAGAGGGGTGACTTAGCCGAGAGAACCAACATCCCATTGTGCTTAGAAGCCGCTTTGTTCCTGGATGCCTCCCTGCTTTCAAACCTATATGGTAACCTCAGAGATACAAAGGCCTCAGTGATGCCTCCACAATGAGATTATTGTAACAATAGTTTGATCAGTTCCTCTGCAAACACCTTTGTTGTAAGAAGCAACAAGCCTCTTGTTATTTGACAGCCTCAAAAATACGACAAAGGGCTGCAAAGCGAGCACTGTTTTATTTATAAATATATAGTCCAACCTGGACTTCCCTTATAGTAAGGGGTCGCAGAAACTCACTTCAGTAACACAGCATTCCTCCCTGACAGCTTGGAAGCTGGTGTTTGTGCACTCCTTGGGTAACTCACCAAAGCTGTCCTTCCTGTACAGGTGCAGCATATGAGAAAGAGATCTGAACTGATGTCACCTTAATTTAATCCTCCCGTTATAAAAAAAAAAAAATGACAAATACACTTTGACATGACTTCAGAAAAGAGTATGTAATACATACAAAGATAATGCAAAGATAATGAGATAATGAGACAAGGCTTGGTTTACAGATTGACAATAGAAGCTGTGTTTAAATGACCCCTTCACATCAGTTGTTTACATCCCTAGAAATCATCTAATTTTTTAAGCAATATTAGTAACCAAGTGTAAAAGTTCAAATCAATTGACAGCATGTACTCATTCTGAGCCTTTTGTTAATAAGTAGGCTAGAGCCCAGTCCGTGGAGAATAGCAGACCTTATCATGAGTTCTAAAGAAAAAAGAAACTTCTGTAATCCCAGCGCTGGGGAGGTAGAGGCAGATGAAGCTCTGGAGCTCACTGGCCATCCTGCCTTGCCTACTTGAAGAGCTTCAGGCAAATGAGACCCTGCCTCAAAATAAAAGATGGACACCGCCTGAAGAATGATACCATAGACTGACCTCTAGTTTGCACATCTGTGAATACACAGAACACAAACACACACACACAATACATACATGTACAACACAAACACATACCACACACACACACACACACACACACACACACACACACACACACACACACACACGGGGGAAGAGAGAAGAAGAGGAGGAGAAAAGAAACAAATAAAAGCAGGAAAAAAAGAGGGGGGAAACACACAATTGCTAAAGAAAATGTTTAGTCATTTTCAACAGTAGGCCCTTTCAGGGATTAAACAAGTTGAACACAATTCCAGCTGCATGAACCCTGAGCAAGTACTAAACAGATTGTGGAGACCCACGTAGGTAGGTTAACTGGGAATAACTGACTACATGGTGAATGTCTGGAGGAGAAAGATTATATTGTGACTGTAGCACCTAGACAAATACCTACCACTTGGTGACCAATAAATGTACACTAAGGAAAATACTGAATGAATGAATGAATGAGTCGATTTAATAAGAGTTGTGAAGGAAATTCACAAATGACTATTGAAGAAAGCACAAATTGTTTAAGTTAGTGTTGAAGAAAGGGAGGTAAATTCTAAGCAAGAAAAATTACATGAGTAGAAGCAGGAACCCCTGAATTCTCCAGGCCAGGATTATGCCCATGCCCTTGAAGTCTTGTGTAGTCAGACCTCAGAACTCATCCTTTTGGATCAAACTCATTCTTGGGTTACTGTTCTTCAGTCTGACTCAGACCCCCCAAAAATCAACATTTCTAAGACCTTCCTATACCAGGAACTTCCTTGACTTAGCCGACCCATCATGATGCAGAAAATGTTAACACCAGATTACGGATTTCAACCAAATTCTTACATTTTCAGTTGTAGAAAAAAATCACAAAATATTGACAAAACGCAGATTGAAACTAGTTTTAAAAAGCAATCATGGAAGCCAGAGCAAACTTCTGCTCGAATGGCAAAGGAGAACCAAGATGGTGAATGGTATAAATATTAGTCTTTAAGAGAAAGAGGAATTTTCAGACTGATGAGATACCATGGTGTTCAAGAGAATTTCTTCTGTCAAGAAAACGCCTGTATCACCTCCAAGGACTCACTAGGGAGACATCACATTTCTGCACCCCAAAATGGGCTCTGCCCAGAGACCTGGAACCAAGGATCTGAAATTTCTCTTGCCATCTTCAGACTACACTGAGACACTCCATCTCTTCAGTTCTCCCATATTCATTTTGCATACATGTTGAATACTGTGAAATGTTTTGTCTTCAAAGACCAGGTAAGTTGGCTTCTCCAACCAGAAGCAAAATGTTTTCTATTCTTACTTCTTTGCTCCATTGCTAAAGTTCTGCTTGCCTCACATCCAAGCCAGCTGAGTTCTTAGCAAGACCTGCTTTCTTCATAGCCGATTGCATGTGCCTAACCACATACACTTCCCACTGTGAGAAAGATACAAGTTCTTGCTGGACCTGAGATGTTGCCACTAAGAGGTGCAGAGTTTAGCAATTT